TGGCTTTTCGGAAAACTAAGTACGGCTTCATCATCTGGTCGTTGAAGTCCACCCTCCCATGTTAAGGTTATAATCGTGGACACAGAGGGGCTTCTCAACAACACCAGCTGCCGTGGCAATTTGGATGGTCGTATCTGTGTGAATGGAAGACAGGAGGTAAACATCCCACCTTCCACTTCACTGCGAGCAATTCTTCATTTCTCAAGCAGGCTTTTTCCCCCTTTTTAAGACGGGTATTTACAAGCCGTTGGGGGAAGCCCCGGCGATTAGATCGCACAGTGCCACATGCGCAAATTCCCAGATTGAACAAATGTCTAAATAGTGGCACGCTTGAATAAAAATTGCCCACATATAAGTGGTACCCCATATGGAAAAAGGATGACGCCAAGTCCCAAACTATCTTGCCACTGCTCCCCATGTAGTCTGGGCATCCGGGGGGCTCCAAGTGACTATCTTTTCCCTCGTAAATCCGAAACTTACATGTATAGCCTGTTGCCCTCTCACAGGTCTTATACATCTTGATCCCATATCTGGCACGCTTGCTGGGGAGATATTGTTTGATTAGAAGGCGGCCAGAATATTGAATGAGGGACTCATCGATGCAGATGTTTTTATGGGGAGTATACACATCTGCAAATTTTGGTTAAAGTGATTTACGAGGGGCTGAATTTTGTGGAGCCGGTCAAATTCAGGGTCACCCCGAGGCGATCAAGGGGTTAAACGGGATTACTGGTGTACTGGCGGGCAAACTGGCGCTATCTGGGAGGGGCGCTAACACTATCGGAAGTCGCCAGCGACACTGATACAGTGATCAGTAAAAATCGCTTCACTGATCAGTGACACTGGTGACAGGGCAGTGAAGGGGTTAACTGGGGGGGGGGGCGATCAGGGGGTTAAATGTGTCCTAGGTGTGTTCTAACTGTGGGTATGTGCTGTTTTACTCACTGTTAGTATGTCTTCTTCTCTGTCTGGAACGGAATGTGTCCAGGCAGAGAAGAATGACATCATATCCTGTCCTGTGTAAATGTCAACACAGGACAGGATAGGACAGGGACCGATCATCTGATTTCAGCCAGACATCACTGGCTGAAATCTAATGATTGATCCCTCCGGGATCAAATGGTGTCACCCGCAGGTCGGTGGGAGCTCGCGCGCCCCCTGCCCGCGAAAACGTCGGGAGCGCGGAGCACGATTTAAAACGTGCTTTTGCGCCCCAGTGCTGCCCTGCACACGTATATATGCAGTGGCTGGGCGGCAAGTAGTTAAGAAAGGAGGGCAGCAAATGTTGTACTTGCTGGTTACAGTGCATTTCTTTCTGAAATTCTCAGGAAAAATGGGCCGTTCCAGACATTGTTCAGAAGAACAGCGTACCTTGATTAACCACAGTCCACCATATCGACCAATGACGGGCGCAAGGCAGTTCTCTCATTCTGGGAGGACGTAATATGACGTCCTCCCATTCTCGCCGCTCATGCCGGCTCAGGGAGCAGATCTTTGAGGTAGGCGATCGGCGGATCATCGATCTACGGAAAGAGCCAAAGATGTCGGCTTGGTCATGTGATCAGCTGTGTCCAATCACAGCCGATCATATGTAAACGGAAATGCCGGTTATCGGCATTTCTCTCCTCTTGAGCTGTCACGCTGACAGAGGAGAGCCGGTAATCGGCATTCCGCAGAGGGGACATGTACACAGATCATCAGGGCACTGATGATCAGTGTGCCCTGATGATCAATGTGGCCCCAGAAGGGCCCCCTGTCAGTGTCCATCAGTGCCAACTGTCAGTGCTGAACAGTGCCACGTGCCAGTGCCCATCAATGCCACATATCAGTGCCTACCAGTACACATCAATGCCACATGTCAGTGCCCATCTGAGCTGCCTTCCAGTGTCACCCATCAGTGCCAGTCAGTGCCACCTATCAATGCCAATCAGTGCCACCTATCAGTGCTACCAATCAGTGCTACTTATCAGTGCCAGTCATTGCCGCCTATCAGTGCCGCCTATCAGTGCCAGTCAGTGCCGCCTATCAGTGCCATATATCAGTGCCAGTCAGTGCTGCCCATCAGTGCCATATATCAGTGCTGCCTTTCAGTGCCCATCAGTGATGCCTGTCAATGCCCATCAGTGCCACATACCAGTGCCTCCTCATCAGTGCCCAACAGTGCCACCTATCAGTGCAGCCTATTATTGCCCATCACTGCAGCCTCACTAGCACACATCAGTGAAGGAGAAAAATCACTTATTTACAAAATATTCTAACAAAAACTAAGAAAAGACGTTTTTTTTTAAATATTTTCAGTGGTTTTTGGTTTAAGAAAAAATAAAAAACCCAGAGGTGATTAAATACCACCAAATAAAGCTCTATCTGTCACAAAAAATGATAAAAATTTCATATGGGTACAGTGTTGCATGACCGCGCAATTGTCATTAAAAGCTGGAAATTGGCCTGGGCAGGAAGGGGGTAGAAGTGCCCTGTAGGCAAGCAGTTAAAAAGTTGATTGGAGAGGGGAAAACATATAAAGAAGTGCAGAAAATGATAGGCTGCTCAGCTAAAATGATCGCAAATGCTTTAAAACCAAAACCTGAAAGACGTGGAAGAAAGCGAAAAACTACCATTGGAATGGATAGAAGAATAGCCAAAATGGCAAGGACTCAGCCAACAATCAGCTCCAGGAAGATGAAAGAAGGTGTAAAGTTACCTGTGAGTACTGTTATAATTAGAAGACGCCTATGTGAAGCCAAGCTATCTGCAAGAAGCCCCCGCAAAGTCCCACTGTTGAAAAAGGCATGTGCTGAAGAGGTTACAATTTGCCAAAGAGCACATTGACTGGCTTAACCACTTGCCTACCAGGCACTTATACCCCCTTATTTACCAGGCCAATTTTCAACTTTCAGCGCTGCCGCACTTTGATTGACAATTGCGCGGTCATGCAACATTGTACCCATATGAAATTTTGATCATTTTTTTCTCACAAATAGAGCTTTCTTTTGGTGGTATTTAATCGCCACTGGGCGCTTTACTTTTTGCGCTATAAATAAAAAAATTGCCAAAAATTTGAAAAAAAAAAAAGTTTCTTTGTTTCTATTATAAAATTTTTAAAACAGGTAATTTTTCTCCTTCGCTGATGTGCGTTGATGAGGCAGCACTGATAGGCGGCACTGATGGGCACTGATAGGCAGCACTAAAGGGCACTGATAGGCAGCACTAATGAGGTGGCACAGATAGGCGGCACTGATAGACAGCACTAATGAGGTGTCACAGATAGGCGGCACTAATATGCAGCACTGATAGGCGGCACTGATAGGTGACACTGATGATGGGTACTGATAGACGGCACTGACTGGCATCACTGCTGGGCACTGACTGGCGGCACTGACTGGCACAACCGCTGGGCACTGACTGGTGGCACTGACTGGCAGCACTGCTGGGCTGCACTGGTGGGTGGGCACAGGTGGGTGGCACTGGTGGGCACAGGTGGGTGGGCACAGGTGGGTGGCACTGCTGGGCACAGGTAGGTGGCACTTCTGGGCACAGGTGTGTGAAATTGCAGAGTGGCACAGGTGGGTGCACTGCTGGGCACAGGTGGGTGATCTGCTGGGCACAGGTGGGCGGAGCTAGTGGGCGCACTGCAGGGTACAGGTGGGCAGAACTTGCGGGTGGCACTGCTGGGCACCGATCATCAGGGCACTGATCACCAGTGCCCTGATGATCGGTGCCGATCCCCGCTCTGACAACTGCCGGTTCTCGGCAGTACTTTCCTCACGATCTGACAGCGTGAGGAAAGTGCAGCCGAGAACCGGCACTTGCATTTCCCTCTGATCAACGTGTCATTGGACACTGCTGATCAGGTGGTAAAAGGCCGCTGTGATTGGCCTTTTACCACATCACGTGTCCTACGGACACAGCGATCACGGAGATCGCCGGGTGCGCGCCCCCTGGGGCACGCAGGAGAGCGCGTTCTGGGGGGACGTCATATGACATCCACTCAGAACTGGCCGGCCGCAGTGCAGCCGTCATTCGGCTATCTGCGGTCGGCAACACGTTAAAGAGAAATGGTGCAACATTTTGTGGACTGATGAAAGTAAGATTGTTCTTTTTGGGTCTAGTGGCCGGAGACAGTTTGTCAGACGACCCCCAAACACTGGATTCAAGCCACAGTACACTGTGAAGACAGTGAAGCATGGTGGTGCAAGCATCATGATATGGGGATGTTTCTCATACTACGGTGTTGGACCTATTTATCACATACCAGGGATCATGGATCAGTTTGAATACATCAGAATACTTGAAGAGGTCATGCTGCCTTATGCTGAAGAGGAAATGCCCTTGAAATGGGTGTTCCAACAAGACAACGACCCCAAACACACCAGTAAACGTGCAACATCTTGGTTCCAGACCAACAAGATTGACGTTATGGAGTGGCCAGCCCAATCCCCGGATCTTAATCCAATAGAAAACTTGTGGGGTGACATCAAAAATGCAGTTTCTGAGGCAAAACCAAGAAATAGAGAAGAACTGTGGAATGTTCCTGGGCTGGAATACCTGTTCACAGGTGCCAGAAGTTGGTTGACTCCATACAACACAGATGTACAGCAGTTCTCAGAAACAGTGCTTATACAACTAAATATTCATTAAATGATTCAAAGGAAAGCAAAATCTTCAAACATTTTCAGTTTATATAGTGAATGTTTGAGTATGTAAAGAATACAAACACTGCTATTTTTTTGAACAGTCTAATATTCACTTTTCTTCAAATTTTTTAGAGGAACAACACAAATTTGATATATTTTTCTTCATGTTTTGATTTGGAATAGAATGTGTAGTGTTCCCAATGCATTTGTGTGTATGGAAATAAAAGCTATTAGAAGGATTTTCAGCTTTATTCACTTTTTTCAACACACTGCTATTATTTTGAACACAACTGTATATCTGCTCCAAGTGCGGAAAATGTTTTACGCAGAAATACCTCCTTGTTGATCATCGAAAAACTCACGCGGTAGAGAAGCCGCATTCCTGCCCTGAGTGCGGGAAATGTTTTTCACAAGAGTCAAGTCTTACTGAGCATCAGATACACCACACAGGAGCAAAGCTGTTTTCCTGCCCTAAGTGCGGGGAAATTTTTTTTACAGAAATCTGATCTTAGGAGACATCGGAGAACCCACAAAATCATTACGGTGGATTAGTAAAGAAATGTCTTCTATACGAATCGTATGTTATCATACATCAGGGATTTCGGCTTAATATGCGTCCTCAAGAACACGTCTGAAGAGTGGGTGCCGTGGGAGCTTCACGGATATGATCCTTTCCTTGGTTTGGAGGCCAATTTCGGAAAGACTCCCTTATCTTTCATCTCTACTTTCTTTCGAATCTCCATTTTTTTTTTTTTTTGTGATCTCTCTTCTTTCCCTTCCATTTTATTGTTTTTCTTTTTGTTTGTTTTTATTGGTGTTGGCCTCTCAGGTGCCCCCTAAAACCTCATGGATATATTTCTGTGTTTTTTGAGATTTAGGATTTATGGGGTGCAGTGGTGGGAGATCCCATTATAGACATCTGCCCTGTTTTTTTGTTGTTTTTTTTTATAGGAAGTCTCCATCAAAACCTCTTTTAGTGTTTATGGAATTTTCTGAGCGGCTCACCTCACTTGAAAATTATTTTTTAATCTGGGTTAACGAGATGCAATGTTTATGATGCCTATTCTAGAATATAATTGCTCTCTGGCTCTGAATACCGGTTCTTTTGATGTTGTACCCGCATATTTCTGTAGAGTGAAAAAAATCAATAAATAATACAAAATTTACAAAAAAAAAATACGTAGCTGAGCGTTCCTCTGGTCTTTATAACATATGAAAGACTTCAAAAGGGGCATGGCTAATGCCAAGATGGCCAGGAGGGTCAAGAGTGAGCTCCATTTGTTGCCTCCAGAATCCAGCTCCGTCCTGCAACTACCTAGCACCTCACAACTCCCTGACCAGCTCCAGTGCTTTCAAAGGTACACAACCACTAATGTGAGTAGAGACCGGCAGTCTGCAGCCGCTGAGCACCTCAAAGAATTTGCCTGGTCTGACAGGAAAGATGGCACCTGCAGCCCTCCCCCCACGCGGGGACCCAGAGATCTCCTGGGTCACCTAAGTTGATGCTTCAAAATGATACCCCATGTTGCTTTCTTGGTGCTTCACAGCATCTCCAAAGCTTCCATAGAAATCCTTGGCAAAGCTCTCTAACAGCACCTGCAGCTTTTGAGGGGCTTGTATTCACAGTTAGCTTTGTTTTGTTTTGGAGATATTGCAGTTATGAGATATCCTGGGATGCACTGGGAAACCAATAAGATCGGAGCACAGCAAGTAGCTGATGGCACAAGTGGTGTGCAACATGGGAACACTATACAGGTAAGTGAGCGGGGGACTATAGAGAGAGGACTGAGGAGCAGAGGATCAGCAGAGATGGGGGACCAGAGAAGGAGAAACTAGTAATGTCACACGGGGTAAAGGGTGGGAGCAATATGAGTGGGGACCAGAGAGAGAGGAGGATCAGCAAACCAGAGGATCAGCAGAGCTGGGGGTTACTACTGAGCAGGGGATCAGAAGAGTTGGGGGTTACTACTGAGCAGGGGATCAGAAGAACTGGGCGTTTCAACTGAGTAGGGGATCAGAAGAGCTGGGGGTTACTACTGAGCAGGGGATCAGAAGAGTTGGGGGTTACTACTGAGCAGGGGATCAGCCGAGCTGGGGGTTACTACTGAGCAGGGGATCAGAAGAGCTGGGGGTTACTTCTGAGCAGGGGATCAACCGAGCTGGGGATTACTACTGAGCAAGGGATTAGAAGAGCTGGGGGTTACTACTGAGCAGGGAATCAGCTGAGTTGGGGGTTACTACTGAGCAAGGGATCAGAAGAGATGGGGGTTACTACAGAGCAGGGGATCAGAAGAGCTGGGGGTTACTACTAGCTGATGGCACAAGTGGTGTGCAACATGGGAACACTATATAGGTAAGTGAGTGGGGACTAGAGAGAGAGGACTGAGGAGCAGAGGATAAGCAGAGCTGGGGGACCAGAGAAGGAGAAACTAGTAATGTCACGCAGGGTGGGAGCAATATGAGTGGGGACCAGAGAGAGAGGAGGATCAGCAAACCAGAGGCTCAACAGAGCTGGGGGTTACTACTGAGTGGGGGATCAGCTGAGCTGGGGGTTACTACTGAGTGGGGGATCAGTTGAGCTGGGGGTTACTACTGAGCAAGGTTTAGAAGAGCTGGGGGTTACTACTGAGCGGGGATCAGCCGAGCTGGGGGTTACTACTGAGCGGGGATCAGAGCAGAGAAGAGCTGGGGGTTACTACTGAGCAGGGGATCAGAAGAGCTGGGGGTTACTACTGAGCAGGGGATCAGAAGAGCTGGGCGTTTTAACTGAGCAGGGGATCAGCCGAGCTGGGGGTTACTACTGAGCAGGGGATCAGAAGAGCTGAGGGTTACTACTGAGCAGGGGATCAGCCGAGCTGGGGATTACTACTGAGTAAGGGATTAGAAGAGCTGGGGGTTACTACTGAGCAGGGAATCAGCTGAGTTGGGGGTTACTACTGAGCAAGGGACCAGAAGAGATGGGGGTTACTACAGAGCAGGGGATCAGAAGAGCTGGGGGTTACTACTAGCTGATGGCACAAGTGGTGTGCAACATGGGAACACTATACAGGTAAGTAAGTGGGGACTAGAGAGAGAGGACTGAGGAGCAGAGGATAAGCAGAGCTGGGGGACCAGAGAAGGAGAAACTAGTCACACAGGGTGCAGGGTGGGAGCAATATGAGGGGGACCAGAGAGAAAGGAGGATCAGCAAACCAGAGGCTCAGCAGAGCTGGGGGTTACTACTGAGTGGGGGATCAGCTGAGCTGGGGGTTACTACTAAGTGGGGGATCAGTTGAGCTGGGGGTTACTACTGAGCAAGGTTTAGAAGAGCTGGGGGTTACTACTGAGCGGGGATCAGCCGAGCTGGGGGTTACTGCTGAGCGGGGATCAGCTGAGCTGGGCGTTACTACTGAGCAGGGGATCAGAAGAGCTGGGGGTTACTACTGAGCAGGGGATCAGAAGAGGTGGGGGTTACTACTGAGCAGGGGATCAGCCGAGCTCGGGGTTACTACTGAGCAAGGGATCAGAAGAGCTGGGGGTTACTACTCAGCAAGGGATCAGCAAAGCTGGGCGTTACTACTGAGCAAGGGATCAGCAAAGCTGGGCATTACTACTGAGCAGGGGATTAACAAAAGTGGTGGTACGACAGAATAAATTTGGGTTTGATCACTACATGATCACTACACTAAACTTGACTGACCCCGCTAAATATTATCATCACATTATTGTATTGTGCACACCTTAAACCTTAGAATTCTTTCTATATTCTCCGGTGATCCATCCTTCCTGATCCTCATTCAATCTATTTGAAGATTTACACTTATTTGAAACTAGGATACCTAATCTAAATTCTGAAATTTCAAATAAACTCATAAAGTAGAATCTTCTTTTCTCCCTCAATAATACTACCAGTTGACAGTTTAGTGGGCTAGCTGGGCCTTGGCTTGACAGATGAGTTAGCTGGCTGGGTCTGGGCTTGAAAGGTTAGTCTGAGCTTGACAGCTGGGTGGTATAGGTGGAGCTGAACTTGATTGCTGAGTGGGCTAGCTAGGCCTGGACATCAAATCTTGGTCTGAGTTTGACGGTTGGTGATGTGTGATAACTTGGTCTGCACTTGACAGCTGAGTGGGCTAGCTTCAAAGCTTGGTCTGCGATTGACAGCTGAGTAGGCTAGCTAGGCCTGAGCTTGAAAGCTTGTTCTGAGCTTGACGGTTGGGTGATGTATGTGGACTTGACAGCTGAGTGTGATATCTTGGGCATGATCATGACAGCTGAGTGGGCTAGCTAGGCCTGAGCTTGAAAGCTTGGCCTAAGCTTGACAGCTGGGTGGCGTAGGTGGAGCTGGACTTGATAGCTGTGTGGGTTAGCTGGGCCTGGGCATGAAAGCTTGGTCTGAGCTTGACGTTTGGGTGATGTAGGTGGACTTGTGCTTGACAGCTGAGTGTGATAGCCAGATCTGGGCATGACAGCTTGGTCTGTGCTTGGCAGCTGGGTGGTGTAGGTGGAGCTGGACTTGATAGCTGAGTGGGCTAGCTAGGCCTGGGCATGAAAGTTTGGTCTGAGCTTGACAGTTGGGTGATGTAGGTGGACTTGGGCTTGACAGCTGAGTGTGATAACTTGGCCTGATCATGACAGCTGAGTGGGCTAGCTAGGCCTGGGCTTGAAAGCTTGGTATGCGCTTGACAGCTGAGTGGGCTAGCTAGGCCTGGGCTTGAAAGCTTGGTCTGAGCTTGACAGCTGGGTGGTGTAGGTGGAGCTGGACTTGATAGTTGAGTGGGCTAACTGAGCCTGGGCGTGAAAGCTTAATCTGAGCTTGATGGTTGAGTGATGTAGGTGGACTTGGGCTTGATAGCTGTGTATGATAGCTTGGGCCTGATCATGACAGCTGAGTGGGCTAGCTAGGCCTGGGCTTGAAAGCTTGGTCTGAGCTTGACAGTGATGTAGGTGGACATGGACTTGACAGCTGAATGTGATAGCTTGGGCCTGATCATGACTGCTGAGTGGGCTAGCTAGGCCTGGGCTCAAAAGCTTAGTCTGAGCTTGCCGGGTAGTATAGGTGGACCTGGGCTAGACAGCTGAGTGTGATAGTTTAGGCCTGAACATAACAGGTAAGTGGGCTAGCTGGGCCTGGATGTGAAAGCTTGGTCTTAAATTGACAGCTGTGTGGACTAGCTGGGTCTGGATCTGGGATTGACAACGGGGTGTAGGTGTAACTGAACTTGACAGCTAGTGTGATAGCTTGGGACTTATTATGACAGCCTAGTGGTCTAGCTGGTGTAAGCTTGATGGTTGGGTGATGTAGGTGGACTTGGGCTTGACAACTGAGTGGTGTAGGTGGACCTGGGCTGAGTGTGATAACTTGGTCTTGATCAGGACAGCTGGGTTGGCTAGCTGAGCCTGGGCTGGAAAGCTTGGTGAGACCTTGACAGCTGCGTGGTGTAGCTGGAGCTGAATTTGA